AGGAATGCTGCCCAGCAAAGGTGATGAGTGACAGTTGCTTCCCTGCCAGCTCCTTGGCAGTGAACACCCCTGTGCACTGAGTGACACATCTCTTGAGTGGGGATGCAGGTGTGCAGAGTGAGGTGGTAACCCCAGCACATGGTGAGAGCACAGCTGGGAAAAAGGTTTTGGGAAAAGCCAGCCCCTCCCAGCCTGGGGTACCTGCAGCCAGAGCAAGGTACAGCCCTGCTGCTTCCCAAGGAGGCAAGGGTGGCTCCAGGCAGAAGGTGACCCAGACACCAGCTGGATCCACACCAGGCATGGCACAGCCATACTGGAATGAAAGGTTTTACCTTGGGAGTGCAGCACTGGGAATTCTGGGCTCAGGCTGAGAACAGTGTAAACAACCAGCAGCAACAGCAGCCACTGCTGCAGCCATTCCCTGGGCTGGGCTGCCAGTGCTCTGCACCAGGGAGAGGGACACAGGGAATAAGCCTTGGATAAGGACAGGATCTCCCCAGAAGGGTGGCAGGACAGAGGAGGACAGATGAATGCTACAGCTGCACCAGAAGGATGAAGGCACCATCCTTTGGGTGTGTCAGCAGCTGGCAGGGAGTGCCTGTGCAGGGGGCCAGGGAAGGGCTGGCAGGACAGGCAGGGCTGGCACCTCTACCTTGTTTGGGCTGAAGACAGAGTGGACACAGCGCAGCATCTCTTTGGTGTCTTCTCCTTGGGGATCCCCACAGATAACGACCTGTCCAGGGAGAGTGTGTGTGGCAGGAGGGAGAAAGCAGAGAGCAGTGACTGCACCCACACCACCACAGCCAGTCCCTTAGGGACACGAGTCCCAGACTGTACCTGCTTGAGGGTGTGATGAAAGACAGCAGTGGCCCGGGCCATCTCTGGCAGGGCTATCGGGATCTTCCTCAGCCTCTCTGAGAAGGCAGCCAAGATCTGCCCAGCTTTTTCCACCCACTCCATGTGGCCCGAGTAACAAGCTGCTCGGAGCAGGTTTGTGACACTGACAGAGTTGGCAGTGGGCTCTGCTCCATCTTGGTCTGTGGGGGACAAGAGTTCCTCCATCAGCCCAGTGCCTCACCAAGCCACAGTTGGTCCTTCAGCCAGGCAATGTCCCTGCCCTCCCTAACCTGCCCCAATTCACAACCCCTGCAGAGCACAGCCAGGTCCCTGAGCTCACCATCCTTCAGGCGCAGGAGCAGAGAGGAGTCACCAGCCTCACTGGAGAAATATGCAAAGCCTTTGGGGTCCCAGAAGAGCTTGTCTTGCATGTGCTGGAGCTGCAGGGCCCACTCCAGCCAGCTCTGCTCCAGGGAAGCTTCATACAGGTCAAAGAGAGCCTGGATGACGAAGGCATAATCCTCCAGGAAGCCCATGATGGGCACAGCACTGCAGCATCATAGAAGAAAGGAGCATCAGGATCTCTACACTCTCCAGGTGGGAAATGTTCTCCCACCTACTGGTCGCTGCTACCCATGGAGATGCCACCCCAGAGCTTAGTCCAAGATAAGCAGTGGCTGTGCCAAGTCAGCACACAGCTCAGCCCCAGGTGGACTGGTGGTGTGGAAGGGCAGGCAAAGGCTTCTGCCAGCCTCAAAGATCAGGAATGGAAAAGGAATTGACCTTAATTCCTCCTCACTGGGTGAGGGGGCGGCACTAATCCACCCCAAACTGCACCAGAGGACATGGAGCACCAGGCTCTGGGCAGCTACAGGGATTCTCCCTGCAGCCCTGCTCACCTCTGCTCCACGGAGCCGTCCCTGCCCCGGTAGCAGCTCCGCAGCAACCGGCCGCTGCCGGGCTGGACAAGGTGTCTCTGCAGGAAGGCAGCTGCCTCTGCAGCCCTGCTCACGTAGTGCTGCTGGGCCAGGGACACACCAGCCTGGGCAAAGCCCGAGATCATCAGCCCTGCACAGACACAGACACGGGGAGAGGCTCAACGGGAGGGGATGACAAGGGACTGGCAGGCGTGTCACTGTCTTTCCCTTCAAGGATGCTTGGCATGAAGCTCATCCTCCCCGACACACAAGGCAGGTCAGGGCTCAGTCCTCAGCCCTTCTGCTCAGTTCAAACCACTAATAAAGTCACTTATTGTCACCGAGGAGGACAGAGAGCTGCAAGGCCAGCAAGTGCTAAGCCTTTTGCTTGTGGGCAGAAACGGGGCTTGAGAGACTGTTTGTAGTCTTGGTTTAACTCCAGCCCACCCCAGCTGCAGACCCGGCTCCCCAGGCATCCCCCGCAGGGAGCAGTGCCCGGGGTGCTGCAGCTATGGGTGCTGCAGGACATCCCAGACCTGCGGCCCCCCCGGAACGTGCCAGGGGAGATGGGCTCTGCCCCCGCATCCCCACAGCCCAACCGCGGCAACCGGCCTGAGCTAGGGGAAGAGTTTTGCTGCTCCCTGCTGGCAACAGGGGCACAAAAACCCACAAAACCCGCTCTCCCCACCCCC